CGAGTCCAGTACCTTTCTGACGCTCCTGCTCAGAACCAGCTCACAAAAGGCACAGCAAGCCTGCAGACAGAGGCTTTTATGTTGCTTTTATGTCTCTCCCCCAGACACTGTGATTGGAAGGGGACTCAGGGAGAAATCACACTCACTGGCCAGCTAGAGATGTCAGTCCTTCCCACCCCTGCTCCTTCTCCCCCGACTCCCCACTCCCTCTCCCTCTCCCTCTTCTAAGTTTCTGTTTCCTCTCAAAGACTATCTCCGAATCACTGAATCTCTTCTGAATCAATTCAGAAAGTTTTAAGCTTTGAGCAATTTGATTCAGATTCAGAGATTCGACCTCTGAATCAGGCCAAATCTTCTCCAAATTGAATTGTGAACCGAAGCTCCTCACTACCCTCCTGCACACCCATCAGTGGGCTGGGGCACCAGGTGCAAGAGGCACCGGCCAAATACCTTTTCCTACACTTCCCACTATAACCAACCTGGAGAGCTGCCCACAGACCCCCCCCAGACCCCCATCCAGCAGCATGCTCACTGCAGGCATCTCAAAAGAACACTTTTTATTCCCCTCATATCAAACAGACCCCTTCTCCACCCCCTCCAACAAACCCCTGCCCCTCCCCAACACATGGACCCCCCCAAACAGAGGCTCTCTGCCATCCATCCCAACCACCAACAATAAATCATCCTCTTCCCCAAGCAAATTATTCACAACAATGTGGGTTGTGTGGGTGCCATCTAGCGGTGGGCAGCCGTGGGATGGGGGCACCTAGGGGGTAGAGCCTGAGCAGGGCCATTCCTGGGAGGGGGGCAAATTGAGCAACTGCCCTGGGCCCCGTGTTTTGGGGGGCTCCGTGGAGCCAGGCCGACTTTGCATCCAGCTACTCACTGCCCCCCCCCCACTGCCAGGTCCAGGAACCCCACAGGCTAATTTGCCCTGGGCCCTGCACTCTACTACAGTTGTCAGGGCCAGCAGGATGCCCATGTAGAGCTGGGGCAAGTGGCAGGGCTGGACCTAGGTGGGGGTGCTGAGTGGTGGGGGACCCAGGGCAGGGGCTGGAGCAGAGGTTTCTGGCCTGTGGAGGTAGCACTGGACCTCTGCCCAAGCCCATGAAGGGGCTTGCTGCTGGGTGGTGGGTGGCTGCCTGCTAGGGGCCAGGCAGGGTTACAGTCAGTGGAGGGCAGTGGGTGGCATGAAGGCAACCACCAGGGCCAGGACAATGTCTAGCACTCAGCATTCAATCTCCATGGTCTTCACTGCCCTGGCCACAATTGCATCCAGGTCCCGCAGGGCCTCTATGTGCTCCCACTCCAGGGCCAGGAGCTGCACCCTGAATTCACAGTCCACCCAATCCCATGTGTCCTCACGAGTGATGTCCTCTGCCCACCACACCCATGCATCTCCCAGACAGTCCTCTGCAGCCAAGTCTGATCTTGGGTCCCCCTTCTGCAGAGCTGGCACATCCACAAGGTGCTGGGTGTGGGTGGCGGTAACTCTGAGGCCGCATCCCAGCTGTCGACTTCCTTCCACATGCAGCTGCAGAGCTTCATGAGAAAGAAGCTGTTTGTGAGAGTTTGCAACATTTCTGAGATAAGATGTTCTGTACCAGGGGCCTGTGCACTGCCTGGCCTCAGAATGGGGGTCAGGCATGCACAGATGCCCAGGGACCATGGTAAATTGGCCAGACAGGTCTGGGGGCAACCAGCAACTAGACAAACCTTGTGTCCCCACTCACTCCCAAGGGGCCAGAGGGCTGCTGGGTGCTGGCTACAGGCACCCTGACTGCCCCTGTCTCCTGCCCAGGCTCGGACAGGTCAAGCTCCTGACAGCACTTGCTGCCACAGCTCCAGATCCTGCTTCCCTTCTCCTGCAAGCCAGCTGGTGTTCTGTGCTTCTGCCAAGGCTATGGTGCCTGGGCTTAGGAGACTTGGGGCTCCTGAATGACTGAGACATGGAGTTGACTATGCCCCTCCCCTCCCCCCCAGGGGGCCTCTCTGGGAATGTGCCTGGGGCCAGCCCCATCTTGTGACTGCTCTGGCATCCCAAGCATGCCCCTGCTGTGTGTGTCCTGGGTGCAATGCAGGGAGCTATTTGCACAGCCTGAGTGGTGCCCAACCCACTATGCCCTGCTGCTGCTGATGGCCATGGTGTCCTAGGTGCACCTGGCACAGGACCCTGAGCTTCAGTGGTGTGGGGGGCAAGCCTGCGCTGCCCTGCAACCTCTGCTGTGGCCTGGAAGACTAGTTATGGCTGTGCTACGTGTCCCTCCCCACAGCCAAGGATGTCATTGCAGCTGACATTAATGCATTCCTTGGCATGTAATAGGCCCATGCCCACCTAGCTGCAGGGGCATAGGCTGCTTAATAAAGTTTTACACTATCTCCCAGCTCCCTGCATGCTGTGTGGGGTGGGACCAGGGAGTATGGCTGGGTCAGGCAGGAAGGAGGGCAGGGGCAGGGGCAAGAGCCAGGGCCAGGGGCCAGGATGGGGAGGGGCTGGCCTGTCCAGTGACTCTGATCATTCCCAGCTGGTGGTGACAGTGTGCAGCTCTTGGTGGACTCCTCAGGCAAAGAGGCACAGCATGCAAGTGCCTGGGCAGGGCCCCACCCCCAGAAGGAGCTGGCATTTCTGGTCGCTGGTGATGACACGGCTGGCCACAACTCACGGCTGGAGCTGAGGTCTCAGAGCTCTCAGGGCCAGCACTGGCCCAGGCTCCCTCAGCTGGTGAAGGCTGGGGGGTGGGAAGCTCAGTGGGATAGGCTGCTGGCATCCAGAGGTGCTTCCCCTGGTTACACATCAGTACAGGTGCCTGGCTGGAGTGGGGACTCAGGCAGGCCACCCATACTATAGTACACAGCACGGCTGTGGCCTGGGTCCAGGATGTGAGGATGTCAGTCAGCTGCCACATGAAGGTCATGGACTTGTGAGCACTCTCTGACAAACAGTTGTGGTCGGAGATGGAAATCCACTGTGCCTGCAAGACCTTGACCTTTATGTGGCACTGCTGCGCCAGCCAGTTGTACTCATATTCCCACATCTGGCCTGACAGCCCCTTGTAAGTATGTGTTGGATCACCCACCCCATGTGAATTGCCACTGAACCTATGCCTCACCCTATAGCATCACAATGTCACCAGTCTCCTTCATTGACCAATTGAGGCCTTGGGTGATGGTGTGGGCAATGATGAGGCCATTGGCCTTCCCACACTAGCTCTCCAGGCTGTCCCTGTGTTGCCGGGCCTGGGCAGCTGCCTGCAGTGCCCAGCGCAGGGGCACGGTGCACGACTAGGAGCCGCGTGGCAAGGCAGTGCTCCACAGTACCTGGAGGCTCTGAGCAGGCTTCTAGGGGTTGACTATAGGCAGCTGGAGCTGACCCCAGTGGCCAGGAGCTGCCTGCACCTGTACCTGGGTGCTGGTGGGCCTGGTAGGAGCCTGCAGCACCCTGTACAGGGGGAGCAGAGGCCAACAGTTGTCTCAGGCTCCCTTCACATGTGCCCCAGGCTGCAAAATGCCTGCAGGCTTTTAAGGGCCTGAGGCTGGGGCTGCCAGAGAGCCAGGCCAGCCCTGGGGCAGGAGAGGCTCCCAACCCCATGGCCCTGGGGCTGAGCTCAGGCTGGCTCCCTAGTGGCAGGGCTGACTGGAAGCAAATTTGCTCCCAGTTGATGTCTACACATATGTTACTGCACAGTAACTACTTGCAAGTAAATTTTCTACTTGGATTTGCAGGTAGCAAGTTTACTCACAAGTAGCAAAGTTTACTGTGCAGTCAGCATGTGCATGTGTAGACATTCATTCTTACTGTGCAGTAAACTGTGCTACTGCACAGTAAAGAGTCTCTTGTAGATGCACCCACTGATTACCAAGAGGTATTGTTTGAACCAATTAATGATGTAGATTTGATTCTCTAGTGTTCTTCAGCTATCTACACTGCTTTGCTGTGCAGATTTCCCACCCGCATAGGGAAATACTCTGGTAGTAATCTCTGTAAGACAGCAGGCATGGTCAGGCAAAATGGGCATCTCCCTATGGAACAACAATTCTCGAATGCCAGCCCTGACTCTAAGAACAGCGCCTTGTAACATGGAACAGCGGTCTTTATGTTTTTCTGTCTCATGCTGGGGACCATACTAGCAAATACCAACCTATGATTAGAGAGCAAAACCTTCACTCATGTAAAACCACCTTCGCTTACTTCCAACAGCCTAGTGCTGAAGGCATTTTGGCTTCTGGAGGACTCGGACGTGAAAAAGCTATTCAGCATTCATACTATTCGGTAGGAGTGAATGGTCTCCTCGGTCGCATGGTGTTGTTTTTGATCCCTGAGTAGACAACTCAAAAACGCAAAACAGTATATAATATGAAACAGTGCATGGTCTTGTTTCTATCAGAAAAAATAAATGCTTGCTTGTGAATGAATACAACTATCTGTGTGAAAGTAATTGCCTACCCCAACATCCATGCAGTCAAAAACAGTCTTGGCAAAAAACCCAGACATGTATAAAGAAAATTGTAAGTGGATTTTGGTGACAAGTTCATGAATAAGTTCTTCCATTTGACCAGTTCTAATTACTGACTTCCTTAAATAAATGCTACAAATTATTTTATATGGTTTCATGTAATTTGCAAAGTTTTAAAATTTGAGCATGTCAGGTTTGAATTAGATGAATATTTATCCTTTCCTATCCTTAGCAAATTATTAAATTTTCTCCATTGGTATTTTATAAATGAAGACATGTCATGATGGCTCAAGCACTAGGCAGTCACAGCCAAATACAAAGCATAAAATCAGCTACTGCATGAGTGATATCATATGACATAAGTAATATTTTAAAAGCTGGTTGCAATTTTCAGAGATTATTTGGATATAATGTAAGAAATTAATTTTCTAGGAAATAGTAGAGCCTTTTTCCAGCCTCATTTTCAATATTTTACCACAAAAAGAAGGGAGGATGAGAGGTGATGGAATAGAAGGAAGGAGAAGATTGTAAATTAGTTCATTCAAATTTGAGCCTAAAATTATATTTTTATTATCACAGTTCTTTCCAGTGCAACTAAATGCCACTTATAGATAGGGTAACCATATGGGACAATGTGAAATCTGGGGCACTGCACCCCCCCCACCCCGCAACCTTGTTACAGGCTGCAGGGAGTCAATGGCCCATTAGTAACCCATTGTGCTTTACAGTCAAAGGTGTTAACAATCACCTGCGAGGTAACGATTAGTGTTGATGGTCATTCCACTAATCAAGCTAGCCTATTTTAGGCAGTTTGTTGTCTGCTAGGGCTTCTTATTTCACAGCTCTGTCTCTCTGTCCTGTGCCTGGGACACTCATCTTAATTTTCTCTGATCAGGCAGGACTGGCCCATGAAATCTAGGACTGAAATGTCCCAGTCAAACAGGGCCTATGGTCACCCTACTTATAGAGGAAGTAAATAATCATAAATTACAATCTAGAAAATTCAGATGGTACTGAAACTATTACCTTGCATTGGCAAGAAGACCTGGAAGACTTAACAGATCTTTTCCATCTCTGTTGTATTGGGTTCTGTTAATTCTGTTAATAAAATGGTGGTTAGTTTACAAAACCCAATTTAATGTCACTAGTCATCCCTCAAATCAGTGGAATACCTTGTAATTTGTAGTTATTCAACAGCTCATGCAGTTAGTTGAATAATGAAAGTCACCTGCTCTGAATCTACTTGCTTAACCAGCACCTTTCTACCTAAATAAGGAACTATTTAATTAGATACTAAATATTGTACAGTTAGCTGTTCAGAACAATAGACATTTAAAGCATTACTGTTTCCTATTCGCATCCTGAAAGCCAAATTATATACAATTATCTGGGGAGAAGTCAGTAATTAAGATGGAATTGACTATAACCAATATTCCTTATTCAAAACTGATTTGGAAAATGGTATTACTATACATTCCCAATTTGTATATGGAAGGTGCCTTGGGGAGGGTGATATATCTACCTCAGAGACAAATAAAGACAGACCTCTGGGCTCTGTAGATAATAAAATATGATTTGGCTTTTTACTCAGAATTGGTATTTGGAGGAGGGTCAGGTTTCTTCTCTTATTATGCAAAGCTTGTTGAAGTCAGTAAAAAAAGTTCCTGTTGACCTCAATAACCTTTGGATTAAAAACCTACATCTAAAGAAGAGGAAAATGTCTCTGGCTAAACGGGGGAATGAACTAGCACAATATCAATGGGTGGCATATATAACAAATACATGTACTTAATTATATATATGATTGCTTAGATAAGCAGACATTTTCCCACCATAACATGCAACAGAATACAAGAAACTGAAACCTGGAGCTATTTATTTTCACTTTTGTAATTAAAAAAGACACTACTTTGATGCCAAGGAAATTCAACCTTCCTTTACTCAAGAGTGTTTCATTGTATTATTGGATATGCTTTGGTCTGATGCATAACAAGTTTACAGCCTAATAAGCTAGTTTCTTTATCAAGTAAAAAAATATTGTACTGTGCTTGTCCTTCTAACAGCCTACAGGTGTCTATCAAGGAATTTAATGTATTGTTGCATATATTTAAGTCTGGCATGAAGACAATATGCTGTATTTGTGTAGCAGGTTAATTTTGGTTGCAGGTATTTGGTTAAATTGAATCCAGCATACTTCATTTTATAGTCTATTTTATCTGATAATCTGAAAAAATTAAGTATTTTATCTGACAGCTGCACTGGCTCTTGTTTTCCTCTTGCTACCTTTATTCTTTTTTCATTTCCTTTTGTAACTGCAGTCAAACAGCTTTTTTCAAATCTTGAAGTCAAGATTTTCAAAAGTGGCAAGTGATTTTGGGTACCCAGCTAAAGTTTCCCAAAAAGAGCCAGAGCATGGATGTTTCACATTCCCTTTAAGATATGTCAAATTGAGGCAAAATCCTTAATCATTTTTCACTCTTTTTTTCCTTCAAAGGAACTTTGTATTCATCATATCAGTCCCTGGAGAGTCCATTTCCCTCACACATTATATATAGCCCTGGTTACCTGGTAAAGGAGCAAAAGCTATAATTTGCCTAAACATTTGGACCATTTTTTAAATTGTTAGGCAGTTGAGCACTTTTACACACTACTTATTTATACACAACTAAATCAGGCTCATTTAACTTGCTCCATCCTACTTCTAGTCAACATTAGCTTTGTATTTGTCTTAATTAACCTATAAACCAAATATTAAAACAAACACTAGTAGATTTTACAAACAGGCGTATAACATAATAACTTGTGGTAATGTTTTCCTATGGAGCAGTTTGCTTGTTTGGGATTGGAAAAGCTCTTTCAGAACCAGTATTCAGAGACAAAGATGTGCACATTGACAATATTACGATGAGAGACAACCCCACCCATGACGTAGTTCATCTCCAGTTTCAGGATAGCATGGAAAGGTCCAACAATGGGCTTCACCTGACGAACAACACCTGTAGTAAAAACAAAACAAAGTCACTGAGATTACTATACAAATCCAAATGGTGAGAGATGACCTGTAGGTTAGATCAACCCTTGGGCAACAGTGGGCATATCTACATGTGTGCTTTAATGCGCATTAGCCTATTTTAATGTGCATTAAAGCAGTGTTTCTCAACCTGTGGTATGCGTACCCCTGGGGTACACGAGACATGGGCAGGGGGTACACAGGTGCTGTATTTTGGTCTTTGCTTGCTTGGGCCAGAAATTCCAGCCACTGCCCCTCCCGCTATGTCCAGTGCACTGAAGCTTTCACTCCCCAGTGTGCAGACTACTTTGTCCCAGGCCACGGTGGAAAAAGTGGGACTTGGCTTACGGCAGTGCCACAGTAGAACTTCTGGTTTTGCTTTTGCTGCGTCAATTGGCAGGGGGTACGTAAGATACCAAAGGTTAAGAACCACTGCATTAAAGCATCACCAAAAAAACGTGCTCTTTAGCTAATGTGCCTTTCTCTAGTACCTCAAAATAGAGGTACTAGTTTTAATATGCATTACATAAAGCATATTAATCAAGTGTGTAGACAAGCCCAGTGGACCAAATTAACACAGCTTGTACCTTCTTGGCTTGGACGTGGCAGCTGACAGAGGCAGCCACTAGATGGCTGGCCTATGGGATGTAGGTTGCCAATCCCTGGCCTAGAGGGGGTTAGCCTTCCATTATATTAAGGTATAACCCCTCATCATTGGAAATAGAGCTGGGAGATTTTTTTTAATGGGTGTGTTACTGGATATGTTTGCAAACATGCATGTGGGATAGTCAAACATTTCACAAAAGCTTAAGATTCACAAATGCATTTAAAGATCAGGTCTTATTTGTATACATAGAAAGGGCTTTTTGCATTAGCAGATTATCCTAATATTCCTCTAATATTCTGACCAGCTGTAATTTCTATACATATATTATAGTGCCGTTAATAGGCAAAATTCTGAACATTGCAATTAGCAATATTTTTCTTCACCTTTTATTCAGAGAGAATCAAATGTGTACCCACCATGCCAGCTATTATTGCAAAAATGGAACAGAAGACTTTGAGATAAGTAAAGCAGTATGCAGCTATTTCTAGAGAATATATAAAGAAATGGGTACTTCCACCAGAACACCAATATACAATTTGACCCAAAATGGCATATTACATTCCATTTGGGCAAGCAGAGATTATAAGGAATGCTCATTAATATCTGATAAAAGAATCACTTTTCATTCAAACATTAAATTATAATGGGCTAGATCGGGGTGGGCAAAATGTGACCCGCGGGCTGGATGCGGCCCGCCAGGCCATTCTATCCGGCCTGCAATGCCCCTAAAAAATTTAGAAAATTAATATTTCTCTGTCCCTGGGTGCCTGTCGTGCGGCCCTTGATGGCTTGCCAAAACTGAGTAAGCGGCCCTCCATCTGAAATAATTGCCCACCCCTGAACTAGATTATGATGCACATTACTAATGAAAGCAATGGGACTTTGACATAAGCAAAGGAATAAGGAATGAGAATAAGAATACTAGAATTCAGTACAAGCACATTTGACACATCTGAGTTTTAAAAATTGCCATACTTACTTAAATACAAGATGAGGTCCCATCCCACCCCCCAATTGGCATGGAGCAAAAAGCCCTTTGTCTTATAATCGCATACAAGAAAACATCATTAAATACACCAAAAGCAGCATGCATTCAGCAATGGAAACCAACTATGACATTGACTAAATGGCGGCAACACTGAGCATGACCATAAAACACATGGCCCACACTGGGCAAACATGTTGATGAGAACTTTTGTGTGTGTATCCCTTAAAAATAGTGGAGAGTTACTCCCCACAAGAGAGAACAGGCATCATGCCATAAAAGACTGCAATACCAAGCTGGTACTCTGAAAGACCAGAGCAAATTTCGACACCCTCCCCTTGTGCCAAAAACACTGAAAGAACATTTTTTTTTTCTTGTGTATGTGTGTGGTCCTCAAAAAAACAGACAGGTATACCCCACATGGAAAACTGGCACTAGACATGGAAGTACTATAATAACAGGCCTGCACCAGGAGGCCAGAGCCAGCCCTGACACCTTCCCCTTGGTGCCAAAAAAACAGATTGACTTTTATTAGTAAATGTTTAGGATTGTGAATCCAAAAAAGATGACAAAGCTGGTAGGGAAATACAGATCGCCCAAGCGAGGGACTAACAATAGAGGGATGGGGGTGAGGAAGGGAATGCAACTAGGTTACAGGAGATACAATTTGGTCTTAGCCATTTGATCTTAGCCATAAAAGGCTGAGATGCTAATTAGAATCATATATTACAAATTTTATTAAAAACATACTTATCACCCTACAGTTACAAAGCTACACATATTGAGCATCTTTGTTTTACCAAAACTTCATAGCATAGAAACACTTACATACCAAGAACAATCAGCTACATATATTAAACACTTAAACAACATTCATCAACTTCCCACAGAAAAACCAAGCTCTTACCAATGGGACTGTGCCCCTTACTGGTCCCATGCAGGCAGGGGATGCGTCGCCAGGGCAACACAGTGCTGCTGCAGGGAGGGGGAGCTGGGCTTTGCTCTGCTGCAGCAGTTGCCAGTGCTGCGACCTGGTTCCTTGGCCCCATAGCCCTGGCAGCTGGGGGCCTCTTCAGCAGGGCTGAGAGAGCAAGGGCTGTGGACTGCAGACAAGGGCCACTAGCAGGGCTGGGGGGCGGGGCGCTGTGGGGATTTTTATCAGAAAATTTGCATTTTTTTTTTTAATCAGGAAAAATCAGGATCCCTGCTTATGATCATTCAGGACCTCCAGCCCTACCTTCCCTATTTTATACCTCTGCATGAATCCTTTCATTCTGATGTAATGAATCAGCAGTTGCCACACCCATGGACTCTTCAAAGAGGTCTGATATACTCCCCATTTCCTCAAAATTGGAACTGTGTGAAATCAGGTTTTATGCACTGCTTTGCTTTCCCTCTCCCTCCATTACCACCTTGCATATCGTGGTTATATATGTTGCATAGACAAACAATCCCAAATCCGGGAGCCCCCATCCCCCCATCTCTCTTGCTTTCTACTACTTAGCTCTAGCCAACCTTTCTCTTTTGGCGTTCCAGAAGAACATACATATTTCTGTCTGTACTTTTATTACCTGCTGCAACATCAGTGGGACTACAATTCCTGTGTACAGAATAATCAGCAGTGGAACAGACTTGAATCCTGCCACTTTTCCAGCAAAGAAGAGTGTTCTTCTGGACCATAACCAAAGTATTTGTCATAGCCTTGCTGTCACCTTTCCCCAAGCTGTATTACCTTTGGCATCCACTAGGGTCCCTAGCATTCTGATTTCTCTCTCTCTCATTTGAAGGCCCAACTTCTCCAAGTCCTTCCAGCTTCCCACTCCTATTATTGTGCTTTTTGTTTTATTTAGTTTACCCCCCATCACTTCTCCATACTCTGATGTATGCTTTAGCACCCTGTCCACCAAAAGTCTATGTCTAACTACTGTATTTATATCATCCACGTATAGCATGCATTTTACCTCACTCTCTTCCAGTATCTTTACTCTGCTTATGACCTTGTCTTTTCTTATTTTGTGCTAATGGTTGCATGCTGCACACAAATAGTAGTGATGACAGGGGGCACCCTTGTTTCACTCCCAATGGATTTTAAAGGTGCCGCTTATGTGCCCATTAATTTAGACTTGACTCTCCGCTTGTCTATAAAATAACCTTATCCGACGTATACATTTCTCTGGCAGCCCCATTTTTCCTAGCATCTCAAATATGTAATCCTGATCCACTCTGCTATAACTGTGTTTATTTTCCTTTCCTGGATCAAGACAGTGCATCTCTGATCACTGATTGGTTCATAGATACTTCTACCTGGTATTGCACACACTTAGTTTTCATGTACAATCTTCAAGGCTTTTCCTCATCCTCAAAGCCAGTGTCTTGGCTATTCATTTAAAATCAATATTAAGGAGTGTAATTGGCCTCCAGTTTTTCAGGAGTTCCTTCTTCCACTTGTTAAAAGAGTAAGATCACAACACCTCTTGTAAAATCTTTCACTGCTTCTCCTGTTTCTGCTATTTTCTCAAACACTTCTGCTATATCCTTCCCCACACATGCTCAAAACTTCCCAGAAAATATCATAGGCAAGCCATCTGTTCCTGTTGATTTCCCTCTTTTAAATGTTTTTAAACACTCCTCCACTTCTCTTAAGCTCCTCTATGTCTTCTATCTTCTTTGCTTCTTCCTCCTCTACTTCCTCTCCCATCTCCTCCACTCTTTACACACTGATGCTCTTTTGATCCCTTTTTCTGCCTTTAAGGCATAGATCAGGCTTTCAATGCCAGTGGGACTCTATCACAAAAACAGTTTAGTGTAGTCTATCTGAATAAGATGTATGATAGTATCTACTGAGCACAGTCCCCCTCACCACCAACTCTTGTACAAGTCACAGTGAGCTCTACATTAAATACATTTTGACTTCCTCGTCACTTCCACAGCTGAGTTGCATCTTTCTTTTCCACTTCCAATGATTTGTTTCCTCACCAGCCTTAAATGTCTAGCAAGCGTCACAAAATGGTGCCCCAAACAGACCACTCAGAATTCCTCAGTTGCCCCCTCTCTCAGCCTGGTGCATATGATTAGTGTGGCTCCACCCTCCATGAAGTGAAGCCAGACCAAGTTGTCCTGCATATACATTTTTGGAGCATTCCAGGGCTCAAAACAAGAACACCCAGTTGAAGTCATGACTGTAGGGCTAATTAGCACATGGTTCCTTTGTTGGCGATACCTGGAGCACACACATACTGAGCACTACTGAGCTGTGGGGTCACCATGCCCTGAAATGCTGTTGACTCTAGTGGCATGCAGCCCATAGTTATGTGGTAAATCATAATCCTTTGGTTTTGGACTCATAACATTGACAGTAGCTGCATCTACACAAGATGCTTAGAATGATAGAAAA